CGATCAAGTTCGTCCCATAGATGCTCCACCTGGTTCAGATCAGGCGAATTGGAAGGTCAGGGATAAAAAAGTGACGTTTGCACTGACGCAATGGTCACCATTTAGTACAGTTACACGTTATGTGTTGAAACAGCTCCCTGACGTTAATGAAAGTGAAAGCCCCACGCTGAAACGTCGGATGCCGTTGAGAGGTTGTCGGATGCCGATGTGCAGTCTGATGCTGTTAGTGTCTGGCAGGTACACAGGCTCCATTATTAAAATGTTTGAAGTTATTATTGGTATAAATCGGTATCCTAGGTAGTAACTGAGGTTACACTGAAACATTCCGATTGTATATAGTGCATGAATCACCAACACCTCCGGTTCTCTGAAAGCAAACGGTTTCTTCACTGACATTAATTGAATGTCGACTTCAGCATGGGAATATTTTTAACCAACTCTGCATAGACGATAATGTGCACTGACATATATGGGAATTGATGGCTGATAGCATACTGATAAAAAACCCATGACTTGTTGACACATGTCATCGTATCTCAACTGCGTAGATTGATGTTCATTCTGCTGATCACTGGATTGTCTGGTACAGACTAGATTAATTACAGCCCCCCACCATATAGCTGGAATATTGCTGAGTGCGGCGTTAAACAACAAACCAACCTACCAAATAATAGATAAACACACGTGGGATAAACAGAAAGGCTATGTTTTCATGTAGTAAATCTGACAATCAGTACAAAATCGTGATCAATTTCCCTCTTCATGTTACCATTAGGGCTGGCTAGTGTCATATCGTTTCTCGTCACGAGCTGTGATAGATTATATATTCGATATAGTTGATTACCTTCCCGCAGCTGCTGGCGACCTGAACTACGGGGGAGGGGGTGGGGGGTGATATTGGGATATATCGGGACCCCAGTCACCTGTGGTTGTCTGGCGACGAGACTTATAGGATCGTTTGATCAGGCTCTCTGACCTACTGTCGTTATCATCGATAGCGTGGATCGTTGGTTATGACGTTGATGAAAGTGAAAGCCCCACGCTGGAACGGCGGATGCCGTTGAGAGGTTGTGGGATGCCGATGTGCAGTCCGATGATGTTAGTGTCTGGCAGGTACACAGGCTCCATTATTCAAATGTTTGGAGTTATTATTGGTATTTTGTGTTGTAAAATGGGGAGCAAATCGATAAACTCAGTTGAGTACACATGGACAGAGAGAGAGAGAGAGAAAGGCGAAGGGGTGGTAGAGGAGAGAGAGAGAGACGGGAGAGAGAGAGACAGGAGGAGAGAGAGAGAAGGGATGATGATGGTGGTGATGATGATGATGATGATGATGATAGTGAATATGTGACAGGTGGCACCCTCAGTACCCAGGTAACCGTGAAGCACCAGGTACACCATATCGTACAGTGTCCCTGTACCTGGAATCAATGCCCAACTGAACGTGTACTGACAACGACCACTGAACCAACATCAGTATCTGCAACGTCCTCGACACCGTTCGGACCAACGAGGCCTTCTTTCTGAAAATATCACGTGATGATGCACGTAACAATACCTTTCACATTGCAATTTACAGGTATATTAATTAGCACCTGTATCTCCACCTGTCTCCACACAAAAACACCCCCTGTGGTGCCTTTTGTCTGGAAGAATAACGCATTTAACGAGCTTATAGCATACTTCTTGCGAACGTCACACCTACTTAACACGATTTATTCAATACATAAGGGTCCTTTTCATAATAGTTATCTTTGAAATGAATATAATGCTGAAACAAATTAGGTCTTTGAATGGCCTTTAGAAGTGATACACATACGGAAAAGAGTTTTTGCGGATGTCAACTTCTATATTATGAGGAACACAACGTCCAGGAGTATATACTTACTCCTTCATCAGGTGAATGGAAGCTACGAGGCAGAGAGCATAATTTATGAAACAAATTTATGAGAATTACACCACAGTGAAACTCTATAGTAAAGACATAGTTGGTGAAAAATGTTGTTTTTGAGTGACAGACGTCAAATGGAAACAAACACACAACAATCGTACTTATCCCGATGCCCGACTTTGTCATCAAATACTTGAGTCAAAATGCCGTTGCATAATGTTATCCAAATATACATGTTTGTTTACCCTATGAACGAATATTAATATTAATCGATATAGCAATTTATGTTTTGGCGTCATCAGGGAATATGGCACGCCAAGCTGTCAAACACAACGTCAATATTCAAGAACACGCTGCCTATTCGCACGAGCTATGACGTACATGAACGGTCAAAGGTCAGTGTTTGTGTCATGGGATGTGACGTCATGATACTGGTTTCAAGCACGTTGCTTTCGACTTCTCCAAAGAAAAGAACTGTAACCTTTTCATGGCTCTGCATTGTGCTCATTTATCCATGTTGAACTTATCGATATTTCTTTTGTGTCTGTTGTGTTACTTATTTTTTACTTATCATTGTAATCATTGTTACCTATTTATCTTTATTGCTCATTACTTGGCTTATTGTGCATAAATGCTTCTTATTGGGCTATTATGTTCCTGAATAACATTTGGTTACTTTTTGAGATTATTTCTCCATACTGCGCTTGTTGATCCTTCTTGAGATTATTGTTCCACATTGTGCTTGTTGATCCTTCTTGAGATTATTGTTCCATATTGTTTTTGTTGATCCTTCTCTAGAGTATTGTTCCATATTTGTGCTTGTTGATCCTTCTCTAGATTATTGCTCCATATTGTGCTTGTTGATCCTTCTCTAGATTATTGCTCCATATTGTGCTTGTTGATCCTTCTCTAGATTATTGCTCCATACTGCGCTTGTTGATCCTTCTCTAGATTATTGCTCCATATTGTGCTTGTTGATCCTTCTCTAGATTATTGCTCCTTTTATGCTTGTTGATCCTTGTTGAGATTATTGCTCCATACTGGGCTCGTTGATCCTTCTTGAGATTATTGTTCCGTATTGTGCTTGTTGATTCTTCTTGAGATTATTGCTCCATATTTGTGCTTGTTGATCCTTCTCTAGATTATTGCTCCATATTGTGCTTGTTCATCCTTCTTGAGATTATTGCTCCATATTTGTGCTTGTTGATCCTTCTTGAGATTATTGCTCCATACTGTGCTTGTTGATCCTTCTTGAGATTATTGCTCCATACTGTGCTTGTTGATCCTTCTTGAGATTATTGCTCCATATTTGTGCTTGTTGATCCTTCTAGATTATTGCTCTAGATTATTGCTCCATTTTGCGTTTGTTGATCCTTCTTGAGATTATTGCTCCATTGCTTGTTGATCCTTCTTGATTATTGCTCCATACTGTGCTTGTTGGTCCTTCTTGAGATTATTGCTCCATATTTATGCTTGTTGATCCTTCTCTAGATTATTGCTCCATACTGTGCTTGTTGATCCTTCTTGAGATTATTGCTCCATAACTGTGCTTGTTGATCCTTCTTGAGATTATTGTTCCATATTTGTGCTTGTTGATCCTTGTTGAGATTATTGCTCCATACTGCGTTTGTTGATCCTTGTTGAGATTATTGCTCCATACTGCGCTTGTTGATCCTTGTTGAGATTATTGCTCCATATTGTGCTTGTTGATCCTTTTCTAGATTATTGCCCTTTTGTGCTTGTTGATCCTTGTTGAGATTATTACTCCATAAAGTGCTTGTTGATCCTTCTTGAGATTATTGTTCCATATTTGTGCTTGTTGATCCTTGTTGAGATTATTACTCCATACCTGCGCTTGTTCATCCTTGTTGAGATTATTATTGTTCCATACTGCGTGCTTGTTGATCCTTCTTGAGATTATTACTCCATACTGCGCTTGTTGATCCTTCTTGATTATTGTTCCATATTTGTGCTTGTTGATCCTACTTGAGATTATTGCTCCATACTGCGCCTGTTGATCCTTCTTGAGGGTTGACTGCGCCTGTTGATCCTTCTTGAGATTATTGCTCCATATTGTGCTTGTTGATCCTTCTTGAGATTATTGTTCCATACTGCGCTTGTTGATCCTTCTTGAGATTATTGTTCCATATTTGTGCTTGTTGATCCTTGTTGAGATTATTGCTCCATACTGCGTTTGTTGATCCTTGTTGAGATTATTGCTCCATACTGCGCTTGTTGATCCTTCTTGAGATTATTGCTCCATACTGCGCTTGTTGATCCTTCTTGAGATTATTGTTCCATATTTGTGCTTGTTGATCCTTGTTGAGATAATTGCTCCATACTGCGCCTGTTGATCCTTCTTGAGATTATTGCTCCATACTGCGCCTGTTGATCCTTCTTGAGATTATTGCTCCATACTGCGCCTGTTGATCCTTCTTGCGATAACATAATTGTTCCTTATTGTGTTAATTTATCCTTCTTGAGATTATAACAGATGTTGGACAATGAGCAGCACATTGTTACCACAGCAGCTTCCCACACCCAGTAATACAACCGTACAACTACCCGTGAAGCTCAGGTTAGAAATGGTCTTCTGCAAACCATACTTTCCATAAGAGGCGACTAACGGAATCAGGTGGTCAGGCTCGCTGACTTGGTTGACATGTCATCGTATCAGAATTGCGTAGATCAATGCTCATCACTATGATCACTGGATTATCTGACCAAGACTTGATTATTTACAGACCGCTGAATATTTGAATATTGCTGAATGCGGCGTTAAACGGCACACAAACAAACGTACAATGTTAAATCAAATATACACAAGGTGAGCTCCAGAACATGTGAACATTCGTGGTACGGAGGCCCTCGGGGGTGGATGTAGACCCACTTGCCGGCACATCCTGCTGTCTGTCACTGAGAGGGGTATTTAGACAGTTTATCGTAGTTGCGAACTAATTAATCGAGATTACCACAAATCGATACTTCATTGGCCTAATTGCCTTAATTATCCGCTACTCCGCACCAGCATGGCAGCGACTCTCGCGATCAATATAAAATACCGTACCCTTGGTAACAAGCGCTAGACCAACCCGTCTCCTAGAAACAGCACCGACCGACCAAAGTAACGTCGACAATCCATTTCCGGCTAAAATATCTAACAGAGGGATGATCACTATTCTCGAGTCAGCCGACGCGTTCAGACCTGCGCACCTGACCGGCACGCGAGAATGGAGCAGACGACAACTCGGTGGGAGCAGGCGATGAATGGGCAGCAGACGACAATGAATTCTAACAATGGAGTGAAAAGTGGCTCGACTTCTGATAGTGCCCGTCAGAGTGATTCCTCGGAGAAACAGACTCTACCATCGGACTCCACTTCACGTGTAGCCACGGGGGGAGACTCCCCGCCCTGGAGACTTCTGGGGCGGTATTCAGAAATAAATAAAGTGAAGTGTCGCCGGGTTCACGCCAAGCTCGGTTCTAGTAAGGATTTGGTATTGTTTCACGAAGAGGGGAAATTCTATGCAATGGGCGCCTGGTGCAGCCATATGGGTAAGCATTACATTTTTTGACTCAGAAAAAGTATATGATTTGATAGACTCAACTCTATCAAGCTGATAAGGTGCCCCAGTCTGGAGTTTTGAGGAGAAGCCTAGTGGTTAAAGCGTTCGCTCGTCATACCGAAGACCTGGGTTCGACTCCCCATGGGTACAATGTGTGAAGCCCATTTTGGTGTCTCCCGCCTGATAAGGTGCCAAGGTTTGGAGTTTTGAGGGGCAGTCTAGTGGTTAAAGCGTTCGCTCGTCTTACCTAACACCTGGGTTCGACTCCCCATGGGTACAATGTGTGAAGCCCATTTTGGTGTCTCCCGCCTGATAAGGTGCCAAGGTTTGGAGTTTTGAGGGGCAGTCTAGTGGTTAAAGCGTTCGCTCGTCTTACCGAACACCTGGGTTCGACTCCCCATGGGTACAATGTGTGAAGCCCATTTTGGTGTCCTTGGTATTACTGGAATATTGCTAAAAGCGGCGTAAACCTAAACTCACTTACTCACAAACTCTGACTGTAAGTCATATTAAATTGAGTAAGTCGACTTCTTGTACTTCTGTTAGTCCTGATAGAGTTAGTCCGTGTTCCATGCCCTTTTGTGTTGATGCTCATTCTTTCAATCATCGGTTTGTCTGGATCGAGTGTTTATATGCAGCCGTAATGCAGAGATGCCAACCCTTACGCTTTGGGCGTAATTATTACGATTTTGACCATTAAATTACGCCATTACACTTAATCTGTGAAAAATACGCTTTTCTACCCGTTTTGCGAAAATCAATAAAGTGGATATAATTTCACAGGGAATATTTTTCGTAACGCACTAGTGCAGGGGTTCAGAAATGGCCTTACACCGATAGGAATCGCTTACTCTTAGCAATGCGCTCATTCAAATTAACTTGTAAGGAATTAAAGTATTTTGTGTATTTTGATGTATGGAACTGCATAATGATTGGTCACGTGTATTTCTGTCTAGAATCTTTCCTATTCATGTGAAAAAACCTTTTTAAAAGTAATTTTTATAAAGGTATCACCTTCCACGATGTAAGTGTTTTAAGTATTACACTTTTTAGGTCCAAATTACACTTTTTGACCTGCAGTATTACACTTAGACTCAAATTAGGGTTGGCATCTCTGCGTGATGTGATTGTTTTACACACTAGCACAGATAAACATGTGTATACAGAAGCACACGCGCAAAGACACACCTATACACACATGTACACACATGTACAAGCACACATGTACACAGACCTACAAACACGCGCGCACATTGGCGTGCCTCTGTATTTGTCATACTTAATCAAGGTGAGAACACGCACGGCGGAAATTAGCGGCTGGTTACCTGTGTTGTGTAAGCTCTATTTACTTGCCTCTCATCATATGGGATAATATGTCTTAAAGCTGGTGATCATGTGTGACGTCAACACTGTACGGGCAGGTGCTCGAAACACTCGCCAGTTTTTGTGCTTGAGCTTATTATATTAATAATAATATTATATTACAGTACAACCAGAAATTATTGAGAATTTAAAGATGTTAATTTTTTTTATTGTTTTTTCACTCATTACTCACGTATTAATGTGAATATTAGCAGAACATAACTCCAGATTCAAAGACAGGCGAACAGTTAGTATTTGCCAAGTCACCAGGGACAATGCAGGCTTCAATGCGGCGGGGCATACTACTCATCAAAGAAGTTAGAAAGTTGTGGTCCATGCTGTCCCAATATCGGACCACCTCTTCTTTTATTTCGGCAATATATGTCAGATTTTTTTTATTGACACTTTCCTTCATAAGTCCCCAAACATTTTTTATTGGATTTAGGTTGGGGCTATAGCTTGGCCAATCTAAAAATGTCATATTTTTGGGTCCGAAACCAGGCCTGTGAATGCTTTGAACGATGTTTTGGGTCGTTGTCCTGCTGGAAAATCCAAAAATGTCCATAGAACACGTGAGCAGATGGAAGTAAATGTCCATCGAGAATATCTGTGTACCGCTCACTGTTCATATTCCCTTCAAATACACAGAGGGGCGTTGCCCCTAACACAGATATGCCACCCACACGTTAAATTTCGGACTGTACTTTGGGTGCTGATACAAAGGTTTTTCAGTTTGTTTGGTCCAGAATTTCAGTGTATTAGGAAACAGCCACACAGAACTTCCATCTGAGAAAATCACATTGTCCCCGTTAAAATGTCTATGCTGTAAGCACCAGTTCAACCTTCGCTCCTTTTCTTCAGGCTTCATGATCGGTGATGGAATTCCTCGACTTTTCTGCCAACCCATTGCATGCAGCTCAGTTCTAATTGTCTCCTTACAGACAGCCATAGTTATTCTATCAATCATATCCAGCCTTAAGTCTTCTAAATTCCTTCGTTTGTTTTTAGAAACAAGAATACCAAGCCGCCTCCTGTCACCGACAGTCAATTTTCTGGGCCTACCTGCGCCTCCCTGGTGCTCAATGCCATATCCATTTGCAATATTTTTCAAAACGCGATAAACAGTGGACAAAGGGATGCCTGTTCTACTTGAAATCACTTTAGCTGATCTGATGTCCTTGTTATAATACTCTAAAATCAACTTCCTCTTCTCTAAATCATCCATACTGAGGATCACTGAAAATGTCGTCTGCTAGAAAGTAAACAAAGGGGCATAACTCTTCACAAACTAATGAAAAAGGACTAACGGAGTTGTCTCTCTTGAATGAAACCAAGCACTTGATAGCTGGTCAAGGTTGCTTATACTAGAAATCCAATTAAACATATTCCTAAAATTCTCAATAATTTTCTGGTCATACTACGTATATTTATATGTATTTGTATAGCACCAATGTCCAGATCAACCGCTTAAAGGCGCTTTTGTTTTTCGATCATTTGATGTCAATCTCAAATGGCACATTGTATTATCAATCTCAACTCCCTGGGACCGTACAACTCTTGCAGGCACTAGGCGCATCGAGTTAGTGTGGTGTTTCCCATCCTTATAATAGGTACCCATTCACAGCTGGGTGGACTGGGACACATAGTCACAGTACTTTGTCCAGGTTTTACAGTACGTTGCTGTACATGCAACTAGGTGTTTGCACGTAATCATGTGGCCACCATCTGGTCATATACTAACGGATTCGTGGTTTCCTTTAAGTGCACATGGTTGTGTACTGTACACTAGGGGTCGTGACAACACCGAAAGAGACTGCACACAAATTTGACTCCAAGGTGTTTACACCCTGTCACAGGTGGGCTCGATCCCTGCACCCCCAAGCTCTCTGGATCACTAGCCTGGCGCCTTAGACAGCTCGCACACCACGTCCACAAGCTTGTGTGTCTGTGTACATTCGTGTGGGTGTCAACGCAACACTGTGTCTCGTAAAGAACTTATTTAGATCAATGCTTTGACCCGTCGATCCCTGAAGATCCGGGTTAGAATAATTATTGATCTTCAGTAACCCATGCTTGTCGTCGTAAGAGGCGACTAACGGGATCGGGTGGTCAGGCTCGCTGACTTGGTTGACCCATGTCATCTCATCCCAAATGCCTAGACCGATGCTCAAGCTGTTGATCACTGAATTGGCTGGTCCAGACTCGATTATTTACAGAGCGCTGCCATTTACCTGGAATACTGCTGAGTGCGGCGTAAAACTAAACTCACGTACTCACGACACGTGTCCTTCAATTCTTGACATTCACAGACATATACTAGGACTGGCACTATACTTCCACAGACATAACCTTGTTGTGTCATATCCTCTTTAAACATAAATACAGAACCTTGTTTTGTCATATCCTCTTTAAACATAAAGATATAACCTTGTTGTGTCATATCCTCGTTAAACATAAAGACATAACCTTGTTGTGTCATATCCTCTTTAAACATAAAGACATAACCTTGTTGTGTCATATCCTCTTTAAACATAAAGATATAACCTTGTTGTGTCATATCCTCTTTAAACCTAAAGATATAACCTTGTTGTGTCATATCCTCTTTAAACATAAAGACATAACCTTGTTGTGTCATATCCTCTTTAAACATAAACCTTGTTGTGTCATATCCTCTTTAAACATAAAGATATAACCTTGTTGTGTCATATCCTCTTTAAACATAAAGATATAACCTTGTTGTGTCATATCCTCTTTAAACATAAAGACATAACCTTGTTGTGTCATATCCTCTTTAAACATAAAGACATAACCTTGTTGTGTCATATCCTCTTTAAACATAAAGACATAACCTTGTTGTGTCATATCCTCTTTAAACATAAAGATATAACCTTGTTGTGTCATATCCTCTTTAAACATAAAGACATAACCTTGTTGTGTCATATCCTCTTTAAACATTAAACCTTGTTGTGTCATATCCTCTTTAAACATAAAGACATAACCTTGTTGTGTCATATCCTCTTTAAACATAAAGATATAACCTTGTTGTGTCATATCCTCTTTAAACATAAAGACATAACCTTGTTGTGTCATATCCTCTTTAAACATAAAGACATAACCTTGTGTCATATCCTCTTTAAACATAAAGATATAACCTTGTTGTGTCATATCCTCTTTAAACATAAAAATATAACCTTGTGTCATATCCTCTTTAAACATAAAGATATAACCTTGTTGTGTAATATCCTCGTTAAACATAAAGACATAACCTTGTGTCATATCCTCTTTAAACATAATGACATAACCTTGTTGTGTCATATCCTCTTTAAACATAAAGACAACCTTGTGTCATATCCTCTTTAAACAGAAAGATATAACCTTGTTGTGTCATATCCTCTTTAAACATAAAGATATAATCTTGTGTCATATCCTCTTTAAACATAAAGATATAACCTTGTTGTGTCATATCCTCTTTAAACATAAAGACATAACCTTGTTGTGTCATATCCTCTTTAAACATAAAGACATAACCTTGTGTCATATCCTCTTTAAACATAAAGATATAACCTTGTTGTGTCATATCCTCTTTAAACCTAAAGACATAACCTTGTGTCATATCCTCTTTAAACA